AATACATGTTGTTTGTCCCAACTGAGAGAGTCTTGTAAAAATGTTGTGAACGAATCAGACCAAAACATGCTGTCGTGATATCATGGACTACACTACATATTTACTACACTATGCAGACCATGTGTTGATTTTATGGTTAGTGTTGACAAATTTATTTTCAGTTAGTGATCTCATCCTGCGAATGAGAGGATGTGTGATGACGTATATGTGTGGTTCTAATATACATGGTGCTGTGTGTGTGTGTGTGTGTGTGTGCGTGTGGGTGTTCCTATTGTAATTTGTGATGTGATGTTGTTGCATTTTTTGCAGATATAAACTAGCTGTGTAGGTTTTGAAAATAAATAAAGATTAAACTAAATAAAATTCTTTATATAATTTTAGGAGACATGTTATCTTTTCCGTATTCATGAGAAACAGCCCTGTCAGTATTTGTCGCTTTGGGCTGGGAGCTGATTGGCTGAGTGAGGGTGGTCCTTTCTTGTTCACTGAAACAGCTGATCTAAAGATGGAAGACAAAAATATGTGCTTGTTAAAACTAGTGGTAGACGTGAACAGAACAGATTCAGAAACTAGTGACATGGATTTTATTACATAAAGTTTTTATTCATTCATTTGAATTGATTTGAGCTGCTTACATTCCTGTGTTGGCACAACTTTACAAACTACAATATTACATTTTGGTGTAAGCACAGACGGAGTAGGCTTAAGCGAGAAAGCTACACTGCAATAAGTGATAAAAAATAAGTTAAAAAGCACATTTTGACTGCCTTAAAGCAAGATATACCAATGGGACAAGCACAATGATCTTGTTTTAAAAAGATACAAGAAATGTCTCCCTTGGAATGAGAAAATAAAGCAACAGATCTTGAAATTAGACTAAATGGCTGTGTCCCCATTGTTTTAAGACAGTACAGAATGTACTCAAATTAAGCCAAAAACCACTCGATTCAAGCATTTATTACCTCCTATTTTATCATTTGTTGCAGTGTAATTGCTAGTTAATTGTTTTGTTAAACTTGAGTACCTCCGCTTCAATTGTAATGCTTTCATTTCAAGTTATGATTTTACTTTAATTGCTCACTCTTGCTTCGCTGAACGCCTGTTTCGAAACATATTTTGCCATAGGCTGCGATCCATAGAAGCCCTATAAGCGGCGCAATGTGTGGGAACTGTTCTGTTGGTGGTACACTGCCATATTTGTTTCCGTGGGTGCCTTTAATATCATGCAGGTTTATTCTGCCTCGTGCTCTTGCTGTGCACATGCTCTACGTAATGGGAAAAGCCACAACTTAAGGCAGCTATCAGTGGGGTATAATTTTTCTAAATTGTTCCAAAAGCCACATAATGTTAAATACTTGTATAAATCTAACCATAACCAGACTTGAGGGGTATTTTAGTGCACTTCTGGGCCTAATTATTATCTCAGAGTACGTTGAAAGGGCAAAGGACAGGCAGAACCACCCTCGTTGTGCGGAGCGGCAGGTTGGAACGCCCTGAGAAAACCACAGAGCAGGGTGACAGACCTGTGTGGCCTCAGCGTATAGATCACTGCTCCCAAACTATAGAGGGGTAGGTGGTCTCTCCATCAGCTCACTCTGGGGTATAGAGAGCGCGGGCCAGCTATGTCAGGTGTCAGCGCTGCCTGGGGCCACTGTTGAGGTCTGTACACAGAAAAACTAGGTCTGCGGCCACAGATCGACCCTGATACAATTAGTGCTCATAATACTCAGACTGTCGATGCGAGTCGCTCTGTCTGCTGTGACCAGGGATCCTCCTCAGGCATTTTACAAAGGATAATATTCTATGAAATACAAATCTTAATCACAAAAGACTTGATGTAATTTTGGAAACAACTTTCTATTTTCCATAGTTAGTGTTATGATACATGACACAGTTCCCTAAGTTCTTATCGGAGTGCAATAATATCAGAATGTGCAATATAGGACATTTGTTTCACTTACTTAGTCACTTTTGCCCAGAGTTTCATAACTAGCTAACGACTTATTACTTCAATGATTTTGCTCTAGTTTGTATTCATAATAATAATAATAATGCATTGGTTTTATAAAGCGCTTTTCAGGACACTCAAAGACGTTTCACATGTTAATATTCTTTCACTCCATACAAGCCGAACGACTACTGTAACTACAGCTGCCTGAGGGGTCTAGAGGTGTGAATGTGGATGAATGAGTGTGTGATTGTAAATTCTTCTTGTTGTTGACCACCCTCCTATTGGAATAAATTGTTTTTGACTATATGGATAGATTGATTGATAAAGTATAGACTTGTGCTTTTCTGTTTTAGTTGATCGAATTCACCGTCAATTGTTTCCTGTTATGTTTGTTTTACTTATGTACTTGTCTTAGGCACACTGAGGACTTTTGCAAATGTATTCCAATGTGATTTTACGGCAAATGGCAAATAAAATGAGTCTGAATCATCTTGTGTTGTATGCTCCTCATTCTGACTGTTCTGTAACTTGTGATGCAACACTGACATTTCCCCACTTCTCTTTATCTTCACAGTAAGCAGAGCAGACCCAGAACGGCCTGTGTTTTTCGCGCCGTCAGATAAGCGAGCGAGTGGCCCCGGACAGTCATGAACGGATAGCCAGATGTGCACCATATGCAGATGGAGGGACGGCGATGGTGGGAAACATGTCGAAGGCAATGACTGCGGATGCCAACAGCGGAGACACAATTAGGCGGCAGCTGCCAGAGGAGAGCTGCAGCAGGGTGGCCATGGACCGTGTGATATATAATGTACATATGGAGTAAGGTAAGGGCTTGGCACTGTCACAAAGTTGCACACTATAGCGATAAAACACAGGTCTGTTTCTGTTCACAATATTTCCATTAATTGGTGTTTCTCTGGATTTTCATGTGTAAAATGTTTAATAACTCGTTCAGAAATTTGGACTGGATTTGGACCTGGATTTTGTGTTCTTCAACCTTTACGTTTTCTTTTAAAAACTTGAAGATTAGCAAAAAGAAAATTGCAACATTATAATAATAATGATGGCAAAGCAAGGCATGTTTATTCGTATAGCACAGTTCATACAGAAGGTAAAGCCTGGTTCACACGAGACGATTTTAAAATTGTTGGCCGATTTTTCTCCGTGTTAGACCCCACACGGGGAGATTAAAAATCCTGCGTCTAACCACTTTGGTCGTGCAGTGTGTGGTGCGTAGCCACACGGCAAGATCACGCAAGCCACAAACATCACACACGAACCGACACCCCCCCCCCGAGCATTCCCAGGTCAGACGGAAATCTCACAAAATCTCTCGAGATCAAGCGTGACTTCAGAGTAAACAGTCATGGCGGACGAAGAGGATGCAGTGGCGATAGTGTGCAGTTTGTTGTTAACAGAGAAGACACGTAATCCAAAGAAAAGGCAATGGTCAAAGCCATGCTGCTGTGTTTTGGTTTTTTTTCCGGTGTTTCCTCACCGGCTTGTCACCTCGTCTTCTTATTGGCTACACGCCGTAGTCATGGCAACGCGCTCGCTTGTCCTCGGAGGACACCACACACGACAAGAAATCGGGCCAAAACAATCCAACATGTTGGATATCCCCGATTTGAGATTGGGAGCAGTCCCGATGTCCTTCCGAGCGACGAGTGCCGTCTTAACACACCACACACGGCAGGATAATCTGTAAGATTTTGTTACGGAAATTGGAGCGTTTCTTAAGATTGTCGTAAGGGGTAAATCGGGTCTAAATCGGCCTAAATATCCTGCCGTGTGAACCAGGCTTAAGTCAAAGTGCGTAAAGGTATATAAGAGGATTTTTCCAAATTTTAGGACTTTTTGAACACAACTTTCTGGTCTTATTTGATGAGCATGTATCACCAGAATGATTGACAATTAGGAGGACCAATAGTCTTGATGATCCACCTGGAAGTAGAAAGAAAAAATACCAAAGAATACAAAAAGGCATTCAATAAAAAGATAAACACAGTTTATTAAAACGAGTGAAGATACAATCCTTCAGTTATGCGCACAGCTAAACAGAACTGTTTTTATCCTGGATTTGATCATTGTCAGAGTAGAAGCCTGTCTCACATTTTCAAGAAGACTGTTCCAGAATTTAGTATCAGATTTTTGTGAAATGCCGCCTCCATACATCATACTTGCTTTTTGGACCCTCAAAAACGCTTTACAAAAATAAATGTATTAATAAAAAGTTTTGAACAGGTGGGTTTTGAGCAGTGATTTGAGGGTCCGAGTTCCTGATGTGTGGTGGGAGTGAGTTCCAGAGAGTGGGGGCAGCAGTAGCAAAGGCTCGGCCCTCCTTAGAGTTCAGCACTTTGTTCTGATGAAAGTGAAGAGGTTGGAGTCTGTGGATCTGAGGCGGCTATTAATAAGATAATAAGAGACAATGAAAAACAAGATAAAAAAGTGTGATTTGATCCATAACATCTATTAAAAAACCTTCCCAAATCCTTTTTGAGACCACACTACTGACAAACGACCACTAGAGGTCATCTCGGTAACAGAGAGCATGCCATAGGTTATCGTTGACCCTCTGAGATTATTGTAAAACTGGCAATTATTTTACTTGTTTGATCATGCGAGGCCTTTTATTCACCTGAGCCCTGTTGAAATCTACAAAGGCACACAACTTTTACTTGATCAGTTCAGGGCTGAAGCTCCTATTGTAACTTCATTCTTGAGCGATCTCCTCATTCATCTGCTCACACACACACACACACACACACTCACTAACACACACACACAGCCTCCATCTCTACACTCTTTGCCAAACGCTGCGACATAATTGGGTCCACATTAGATCTTTTCAAGTACTTGTAATTTCATAAGTGGGGAGCCGTTCCCTTCTATTTTCCCCTGGTTTGAATATGAACAGGGGGGAAACCCACAGTTCTTCAAGAGCCACTTGGAAAAGATGGGAAACAGATATTGGCGCTTAGATGTGACGGTGTTCTGGGGGCCTTTTTGCTCAAAGCCCCTCACAGTGGCAGCGACAGCACTTTTCCTACAGGACCACACACACTGCACCTGCGTCGTTCACACCCGCCTCGTAGTTACCACCCAAATCAAAAGAGCTGCGAGTTTTCTGGAGGTTTTTGAGCCATTTAATTGAGCTGTGTGTGTCCAATTATTATGTCACATTTTTTATGTTTCAGATATTTTGGAGGTGACAGCTGTTGTTAGGTCTGACTCAAGATCCACCATGACCAAAGCCAAGTAAGTCAGACTATTTCACTTTGCAGAAATGTGGTTGACTTTTGATCAGAATCAGAATTGTTTTTACTGCTATTGTATGTAACAGAAGGTCACATACTAGGAATTTGCTTTGGCTCATGGTGCAACAAGTTATACATGTAAAAATAAGGCATGCAAACCAAATCTTTGATGTGGTGTCGGTAAAACACACCACAGTTAATGTATTATTATTTATTAATTTCTATTTGTTCCTTCATTGGGATGATGTCCCCTGCAATCGGACTTATCACAGCTGTCACCTGTGCAACAGGGTGTGTCAGTGAGAGAAGGAAAGAAACTGTTTTGTAATACACATAATCCTAGAAAGTCAGAAAGAAAAAGACAACTTAATTTCTGTGGCTGATTATCATATTTCTGTGAGTTACAACCTCCTCCAAAGGACAACACACAATCAAACGTATCACATATATTTCTCTTTTTTTCCATGAATGAATAAAGTGGGACTCTAATTTGGCCTTCTCCGTTGAGTGCAAAATGTAAATGATGTATTATCTTCATTAGATGTAAAAGTATGAGCAATCCTCCATGCATGCAGTACTTCTGAAGGAGTTTATTATTGTAGCTGAAGGTGCTACTCTGTTTTATTTACTTTGATCTTGTGCGTTGGGACTCCTTTGTAATCAGAGGTAGAAAGTCATTACGTTGTTATCACAACTGCAGCTGTACGACTCGCAGCTTGACACAAAACGTGAACTCGTGTGTAATAGAGAGGCCCTCTGTGGCTGCGCGGCCTGGCCCACACGTCCCGCTGCCTCTCCGGACCATACATCAGAGAGCGGGGCAGGGCAGTGGCACTCTGGAGCCAGCCTTTGAGGGCCGAGGCCTGAAAATCAAAAGAGAATGAGTGATGACTGTGATTTAAGCCCTCTCCTTCTACCTTTGCTCTAATCACCACATTAAATCAACGTGTTTACAAGAAATATGCTTGGGGATTTGAGAAGCAATTTGAAATAAATGGAAAGTGGTTGCTATGTTTGTTTAGTTCATTGAACTTTGTCACTCCATTTTTCGCGTCTCCTTCTTGGTCTTTTAAGAGGCATTGCGTGAGTGGCTGTCATTTCACCTTGACCTGTCTGATTGACCTGACTGTCAGCAGTGAAAAAACCCCTCATCAGTGTAAAACGTTGCCATGGTTTCAGGCTGATCCAAGACCCCTGCTTGTACGGGGTATGAGGGCAGCTGGGATTTAGCCCCCCCCCCCCCCCCCCCCTTCCTCACCCCCCACCCCTCCTCCTCACCCTGGATGTTGCAGCTCCATGCTACAGCCATGTGGGGCTGCATCACTGCTGCCCTCTAACACGCACTCAGCACCATTGCGTGCAGAGGCTGCTCCGAGAGCACAGCATTTCACCCCAGTGTCTTCCGCATGAGTAGATCAGGGAGGAGGGGGAGGAGGGGCTGAGGGGAGGAAGGGGAGGGCAGCACGCATACTATAGATTCATGTTTAGCACGATATTAAATATACCCCGCCACAGTTTTGACATGAAGTGAATAAAAACACACACATTTGATTGAGATGGAAAAGGTTAAATTTATTGGTTGCATTCTTGTTTCTTGTCATTAATTGTTGCTCAAAGGGAAATGAAGTAAGAGGAAACGACTCATGTATTATTCAGATCATAGACAGACAGTGACTGGAGCTCAGGCCTCACAAACATGACCAGTCTCGCCACTCCACACACGTCTCACAGAGATACACTCAGACAACTCCTATTGATCTTGATTGAGCAACACCACACAACCTTACTCCAAGAAGAAACTCCATTCATTTACAGCTGTTATGCAAATGTATCATCACATATATTTATTATTCAAATCACTGCTTTACATTGAATCATTTTTTGTTTTCTTTTTTATATATGTTGCCTGCTCACTAATTTCTTTAAAACTGGACTCTATTCAAACAAATTGATCACTACCTTTGAATCCCCATTTAAATAGGCTAATAATAAATGTTAATAACTAAGATTTTGTCCTGTCGTTTATTCATCATTAAATTAGGGCCAGTTATCGATTTCTTTTGCTCTTCCATCTACTTTAGTTGCTTCCTCCATTTTGCACCAGGGTCACCTCTTAAGAAAAACATGATTATCACACAACCATGAAGAGCCCATAATTATCCGCAGCCCGCTCTTTCTCATGTTCGGAAATCGCCTTGAAAATGGTTTTGGTCTGCAGAGTGTTGACCACTTAAGCTCCCCTCACTGAAGGTCTCCGAGCGAAACATAAACCAATTTACAACACAATTTCTCTTTTAATCATGTTGGCTAGCTTTACAAACATGTATGTACCTGTGTGTGTGTGTGTGTGTGTGTGTATTTGTTTGTATCTATGTGTTTATGTATCTTTGTATGTGTGTATGTGTCTGCGTGTGTATGTATGTATATATGTATGTATGTGTGTATGTGGGTTTGTTTAACTATATGTGTGTGTGTGTGTGCGTGTCTCTATGCTATGTGTGTGTGTGTGTGTATAGATGTGTGTATATATGTATATGTGTGAGTGGGATTGTTTAAGAATATATGTGTGTGTGTTTTTCTGTATGTGTGTGCGTGTGGGTGTGTCTGTTTGTATGTTATGAGTACGTGTGTGTGCGTGTGGGTGTGTGTGTTTGTGTGTGTGTGTGTCTATGTTGAGTATGTGTGTGGGTGTGTGTATGATTGAATGAATGCTGGACTGAACTACTTTCTATCCCCAGTTTCTGTGTGACTCTCTCCGTCCGCTGCCACAGTGTTGTACTTTGATGTTGTTTTTATAAAGTTATAAAGAGTTGGCCCCAAAGAGAAAGTTCTGGTCCGAGTCAAAAAACTGTAAATGCAATTCTGGTGAACTTTGTTGCTTTGTGTATTTACCCAGCTTTTAAACTAATAGAAAAAACTAGGTCAATTAAAATCCTTGATGATCTAATTAACATTTTAAAAACTTCCTTTATATAAGCATAATTTTCAGATTAAGTGTCTATAACAATCCTGTGTATCGCAGATGTGCTCTGGTTTCATCTTAATGCCTTTTCGTACAACTTTCAAGAGATTTGAGATTTTGATGGTGATTTTGAATGAGTCTGCCTTTAGGAGCCATGAGTCTGTGTGCGCCACTTTTCTCTTCCCCACAACATCAGTGGAATTACATTGAACCCTGCAGTCAATTATTTGTGTTTAAGGTGAAATTGCCCTGTAAAATTAAAGGATTTACACTGTGGATGGTGACGTTTTTCTCAGTCTAAAAACACACACAAATATGTTATACAAATATTGATGACTTATTAAGAGCAGACAAATGCTTCACAAACACAACATGACAGCATTTTAACTTAATAAATAATTAAAGATTTGTATTTATTCTGGATTTTGAATTGCTATAATTTAAGATAAACTGATGAAGAATTACATTAGTTGAAACAAAGCTGTATACAAACAGTAATGGGAAAACTAATCATTGCACACATCACATACTGACAAATAAAGATACAAGCATTACAGTAACATTTATATAAGGTTGTATGTTTCACAGCTTCTGTCATTTCATTTTCATTTTCGACCGTTCACTGTAAACCCTAACTTCAATCGTACTTCAGATATCAAAGTTATTTTAAATAGATTTTTCCCAGTAAGTAAATAATACTCATTTATTGTTAGTTTATTTAAAGCTTGCCTATGTCACTCAGGGTTTTCTTTGAATTGAACTGTTTCTGTTCAAGTAAGCCTCACTTTTGACATTTTGACGTATAGAGTCTTTAATGAGGCAGGTGTGTCAGTGGCAGGATGGCCTGGTGGCTGAGTGGGTAGCACCATTACCTCTCAATTACAAGGTTCTGAGTACGATTCCCGGTTGGAGCATAAGTCGAAATTTAAACTTTATTGCAATCACTTGAGTTGTAATATCAAGTAAACGATGTACTCGAGGAATTCAAGTGAAGTTAATACGCAATTTATTTCCATGGTTTTTTCAAGTAAACTTTACTTGTCAGGGTTTACAGTGTTGGTATCCAGTCCGAGCTCCAGTCTCATTATTCTATTTCATTATTATCAAGTGTTTTTGCTTCAGAAACAGTGATTATTTGTGTGTGGTGAATAGGTTTGTTTGCCCCTTTTCTTTAGTCTCATCTTTCACATTTTACTATATTGTTAAATTCTCTTAGAGCTAAATATTAGTATAATGTCAATTATAAAGTCAAATTGAAACACAATTAATATTGAAAGAAATGCTTCCTATGAGTCTAATTTAAGTCTGTTTGTAAACAGGCCAACACCTTGCACCATCATCACAATTAATGGCCAGTGATCGACTAAATAAATCATATAGTTATGATAATATTTAAAATTGTAAATATATTGCGTGATTTTGGATTCAATTAGAAATTATGATAAAATATTAAAATATTATAAATAAAGACTGTTGTTGTTGAAGGCTCCTGACTTTGTGGTGTCCAAAATATGTTTTAGCTTTTATATTAACTTTAAATAGTCCATGTTACGACAGTGAGCGCGTGCTCTTTATTTCTGGGCATCGTCACTAAAACAAATGCAACCATCAACACTTTGGATTAGACTTGCTTTCATGCTTTAGCCCTTAGACTCCGTGTATTCTTTAGCCGAGATATTTGACCTTCTACATTTATAATCATAAGAAACTCCGCTGAACTCGTGCGGCTCTTGGGGCGCGCTCCCCTGAACCACCGCCTCTGGAGACCAGGCCGCAGCCAGAGCCGCGGGTCTAGGATTAGGCCCAGACACAGCCCTGCAGCAAAGGCTATTTTAAGCGGCCATATTTATTTATATATATTTATTTATGTATTTATTTATGGCTTATAGCCAATCAGTTTTTTTGCTTCTGTTTAATTCGGTGTAATTTCCACAGCCCATTGTTAGTACGATATCCCGTCTTAATTATAGCCTTTAAGCTGAAGTGGCCCATCAGGCTGTAGTTTATGTGGATCAAAGTTTGACAAATAGCTCCACTTCATTCAAGTATAGGCCTAAATATTGTGCCTGTGGTGGAAAATTATGAATTAATAAAACTGGAAAGCAGCTTTTTTGTGTCTGCGTGAGGCGGAGGGTGCATATCTTGGCTTTCTTCCGCTAAACTTGTAATCAGGCAGTTTGCAGAGTTTGAACTGGACGGCGTCCAGTCAGAAGATTTACCTCAGTTGAACTAAATAGTTTCTGGATCAGGTACAGCGCTGATGAAATGTAATTATTATTAAACCTATTTCCACAAGTAAACGAGTTTATTTGGATATTTTCTGCAGCTCATAAAAGTTAACAATGTTGCAAAGTTAATGAAACTGGGGAGAAACCAAATAAAACGTGATCAGGCTGAAAGACATCAGTGCTCAGCAGTGTCAGCAGGTGTTGCTGACAGGAGCCATGTAGTGCGATCCGTGAACTCATTTGTGTCGCACTTGTTCCTTTTTTCGACAACCCATAAACTTTTGTGTTGAGAATTTAAGACGCGGACACTTTGCGCGGAGCCGTGCGCTTCTGCTTCGGCTGCTGCTGCTGCTGCTGTTGAGAACTGTTCCCAAAGATCCAGATTCTATCGATGAAATGACGCTGGCGCTCCGGGGGCAGATCCCATGCGTTTGGGGAATGTTTGTTTCTGTGTTTAGTCACGTTTAATGGCAAAATAAACCAATCTCTAAAACCATAATGAATGCTCATTAAGACTACAAAGGCTTTCAAATGGTGCGCGTTCAAGGGAGTATTTGAGTGTCATATCAAAATTACAGCTCGAGTAAACTCATTTTCTCTACACAGGAATAAACAGAGACTCAAGTGAACCGCAGAGATCAAGCCGAACGCATATCACAAAGTGTTCTCCAAAGTGCACCAGACTTCTGGAGCAATTAAGAGAGTTTGGCTTTGAATGGTGAGAGGAAATAGCTTTCCTTGCTGTTAAATGTCACCAGAAACGTGCCTGGGGCATAAAGTGACCACTTTGTTTTGGTTTGTGCGCCTAAAGTCCCTCTCAGTTACAGCATTTGTGACTGTTGTCAAACCAAAGCTTTTGTAGTAAGCCTCTTACTTTTCAATTACAGTGCTACATGTTCATATTTCATTCAAAGTTGAGCTCTTTCAAAAACATTTGTATTTTCAAGTTTTCTTGGTGGAAGTATGTTGTGTGAATGGGCTACACTGATGACATAACAAAATTACAATTCTTTGTTTTGTGGGTTTTTTCAGCAGTCACCTTTTTAAAGTCAGCACCACATTATTTCTCACTTCAGGCTTGCATTCTCTCCAGATGCATGCCCCTGTTTTCTGTTTGGTTTATGAGAACAA